TCAAAATTGAAAGCTCACATTGAAACGATGAATCTTATTTAAAATAAAATGATCATAATGAGAATATTTATTTTAAAAATAACTAAAATAACGGGTGATGCAAAAGTTTCTGCACAAATGTCAGATCTTTCATCGGCTAAAGCATGTTTGAATAAACTCAAAAGTACTCCTTTAGAATCATCGTCGAAACCTATTTCGAAATATATGTTCAAAAAAAGTTCTATCATGCTCTATGATGGCTGAGATGGGAGGGGAAGGAACTTTTGCCCAGGGCTGTAAAAGAATTTTAATAGAAAACGATTGATAAATTTAGCCTAATTTGTATTTATCGTACAAGAAGAATATAGATATTCTATGAATATATTTAAAAATCTTATTAGATTTGTTGAAGAAGAAAGTTCCAATTGATATTTATAAATAATATCTGATTATCGTCTTGATTAAATGGGAACTGAGACAATGTGCACGAAAACAATCATCATAAGGAAAGTTCAATACGCAACAAAAATCAAAATAAATATAAACTTTATTTCAGGATCAATGAATAACTATTTTAATTAAAAAGTGATTTTTGTTTTGTTGAGTTGCGAATTAATGTTGTTGCCATGTTGAACAATTAAAAATGTTCGATAAGAAATGTCCTCTTATGTATTAGTAACTGAGACTTTTTGATTCAGATTCCTAATAATTAAGAAAGGTGAACCAATTATGTTTTTGTTATTCAAATCCTAAGCTTTAGTCTCATTAACATTTATATTGGTCTTTTCATAGACGTGACATTTACCTTCATTTTTTCTTTATGCTTAACTTTCTAGTGCTGAATTTCTTCGTTCTCAAAATGTTAAATTCACGTGCTTGTAATGTACATTAAATGCATTACATATCACTAATCAACACTTTGACTTTCTTAATAAAACTTGTATGAAATATTTTATTGGTTTTTTTATTCACTTTGAATTATTTAAATTATCAGAATGAAAAAACAAATAAATAGTATCTATTTATATAAAACAATAAATAGTGATCTCATTGGTATTTATGATCATTGAAATAATTCTAAAAAAAATAAATTAACATTTCCAAATAATATAAGACATAAATTTTAAGAAAAAGTGATTAAGCATTTGTTAGAGCGAAAGATGTTCGACGTAAATGAGCAATAGAGTGTGGTAGTATAATCGTACTTCTATGTCTAATTGAACGCATTCGAACAATATCTCAAAGTTCTTCTCGTTGTAATTTTCTTCAAAATAAATTCATTAATTTTCCAAAACAAAATAATTGAAAATATCGATAAAACAATTTGTGTATTTCATTTCGAAATGATTTTCCACTGAAACAATAAACATAAAAATTTAATGAACAATCAGTTAATATAACAACACTTGTTCAACAGGATAAAAGTACATCTGATATCGACCAATGTACAATTGTTGCTGGTAATGATGAAAAACAAAATAAAAATCAATGAATTATTAATAGAACATTCATCCATGATGTATGTGATCGATTATATACCATTAAGCCATCAATACCTTCTTTACCTTGAAATGAAGAATGATAACCTGGACGAGTGCTCATTGGTCAACCCGTTAACATCTCTCATGTTCACTAAGGTCTCAAACAGACAGAGTAAATAAGACGAATTAAAACTGAATTAGGGATCAATCACACTGGAAAAAATAAAACAAGTTAAGCGACGTGATTGGTCTATTCCGACTTAAATCGTCTTTTTGAGACGATTTATTCGTTAATTCTGTTTTAATTCACTTTGGATTAGTCGGTGTGATTGGGACTTTAACGAATAAATCGTCTAGAATAGGCGATTTAAGTTGGAATAGACCAACCACGTTGCTTAATTCAACTTAACGTTAATTCATTTTTTCAGCCTGTTTGACCCCTTTCAGTTTGTTTGGCTCCCAAGAAAAGCCTGTTAGCACAATTCCATGCAGGATTAAAAATGTGAAACACGATGGACCTATTGTTACTAATTAAATGGACATTGTTTTATTTCATTTCTTCAAGATACATTTGTTGCTTACCGTTTATTTGATGCTTCAAAACTACAATTTCTGTCACAGTCTGTGATGGTCTCTCAGGATTCTCTGTCACGGTCTGCGATAGTCTCTGAGAGTCCTCTGTCTCGATTTGTGATGATCTCCGGGGTTCTCTGTCATGGTCTGTTGAGAGGGGGGGGGGGGGGGGTGGGTCCAAAATTTCTATCCTATACATTTCAACACTCTTTTCAGATCGTGTTGCACAAAAAGCAGTAGAATAAAAGCAAAAGAAATAATGGCATTGGTTCATTCATTCTTTATTCATATCATTAGACTAAAGAAAAATACATCATTGTTTTCATTGATGATATCGGTCAAACAGAACGAACGATTATAAATATATGTTGTCAGCAAAATTAGAATTCAGGCAAATTTAAAATTTGCCTATTAAAAAACAAAGTACACGATAAGATGTAGCGTCAAATTTTCTACAATTTACATGAGACTACTTATCTTAAGATTACACTTTTTGTTTCGAAAATGGACAAAACTTTTAGCGAGTGAATTTCGATCGTTCGAAAATTTGTCGTAAAGAATTTTGCATTTTTTGACAACAAAAAGTACACAAATAAAATAAGCTTTATTTTATAGATTGTTGAACTTTTTACACTGCATCTTGTAGTATGTTTCGTTTTTCTTTTAATAAAGCACATCAAGTAATAAAATCATGAAATAACAAAAAAATGAATTCGTCGTGTAGCAAAAAATTATCTTTTTCGGACACAGTCAAAATTTGGTCGGTCAAAATTTTGTCCTTTTGTAAAAACAAAAAATGTAACCATAAAATAAGCGATCTTATATAAATTATAGAGCATTTCACAGTGCATCGTTTGATGTATTTCGTTTTTTGATAAAACGTATTAGATGATGATAAAATAAAATACGAAACGAAGGCATTGATTCTGGCCCACCCATTACATGAGGAGGAGGTCGATAAGTGTATTTGTCCCCTTTTAAGTCGGCACTGTGAGCATAATGTATGAAATAACGAGTAATGACTAATGTGAAAAAATTTCGAGACCATAGTTTGTTGTTGAGATACTGTATTTTTACAGTTTTTGTTTAGGTGAATGCCGTAGTTCTCATAGGAACAAGAGAAAAACTTATTTTCGAATTTCAACTTCAAACTTTGCACAGAGATAAATATTAATGAGAGTGGTTTATTCTGAAAGTTTTAGCTTTTCTCAAATGCGTCTAATATGAAATAAGGACATTGGATTCCGCCCGGGTAGGTGATGTGAAAAACATTCTGTTACCATATCCAAATCCTACACCGAAAAAAAGGTATCATACGAAACTAAGAAAAGGTTTCATCATTTGTAACGAATTCGAAACAGTTTTTTAGCTTCGTACGAAAAAAGTTTCATACACAACTATTTTTTAGTTAGCTTGAAAAAAGGTTTTGTGCTCCAGGTTTCATATAAAACCCTTTTTTCTCAGCTAAACAAAAGGTTGCGTACTCATGGTTTCGTACGATCTCCCATACGATATCACCTCAATGATAAATACCTGACCAAAACATATTTCAAAATCTAATTTTTTCTTCCTCTATCTAACCTTTATTTCTATACCTCATCCTAAATTCTATACTTATCCTTAATTCTACCCTTAACCCCTTATATCTACACTTATCTCGCTTAACTCTATCCTTATTCCCCTTGATCTACTGGGTGCGGCATAATAATGGCAACATTTAGTATTTTGAGAATATCTCACTCATAAACGATCAATACAACCTTGACTTTTTTTAAAAAGATGCACTGTAAAAAGCTCTATAAAAATTATAAAGACAAATCTCTATTGACTTGTTATGATGGTGTCTCCAATATTCAAAATGAATAGGTCACACGATGGTGCTATGTTCCATCGTATTACGCATAGAAAAAAATATTTCGAAGGCTATTTTGTTTTGCAATAGGAATTTGTTCATACAATTTTTGTAGGCCTTCGACGGTGCATCTTCTGAAAAAACCAAGGTGCTATGATTTTTCCAAGCTGAGATATCTACAAAATAAAAAAGCCTTCGAAATATTTTTTTGGATCGTAAATACGATGAGACATAGCATTATCGTATGATTTGTTCATTTTGAGTATCGGAGATACCATCAGAGCAAGTCAATAGAAATTTGTTCTTACAGTTTTTGGAGAGCTATTCACAGCGCATCTTTTAAAAGAAAAATCAAGATTCTAACGTTTTCTTAACCCTTTCTTGCCTTTTGGTTACTATCAGGACCATTTTATAAAAATTTGGTTTCCTTGAACTATGAGATATTCAGAAACAGATTCTATATCAACGTAAAGCCTATCTATTGTAGACTTCAAATCAAAAATTTGAATATAAAATCTGTTTCTAAATATCTCATAGTTCCAGGAAATCAAATTTTTATAAAATAGTCCCTCTAGGGACCAAAAGGTAAGAAAGGGTTAACAGAAAAAAAGCGAAAAATACTTGTCGCTTTTCTAAAAAAAAATCATATTTTCAAGTAGAAAATGACGTATTTCATCTAAAATTGTGAGAAAAAAACGAGGTGCCAATTATGGAAAATCAAACTTTGGGCTATCTTCACATACTTTCATTGTTTTGATGAAAATTGCCTTATTCTACGGATTGAAGGGGCATTGGCCATAATTTATAAAGTTATCGTGTTCTATGCCTAAGATTCATTTTGTAAGATAATCATAACGAAACTTTCAATTAGAATAATCATTTGATCAAAATATACTAGAGAAATATTTTTCTCTTTATTTTTTCTTAAAGAGGATGACGTCAGCACCTATACATTATCTTTGCAAAGAGATAATCCACATCATTACTCTTTATTAAAATAATGGCCTATATATAAATAAATGATATAAAAAATTATTATAACATGTATAGAGAACAAAAAAAACGAGTGAGCACAATCATTAAAAATAACTCGAGTTTTATCATCATCAAAAGCAATGGATGCTTTACGTATTAGTACTGCTGTTATAGAAACACGTACTTATATTACTAGATTTTTCGGAAATTTTTTTGCGTCACTACTTTTTATACAGAAAGAATTACGTCAAATATCAACAGGTCTACTTTTTCTTTTACCTCATATAACCAATATAATTCATTTATTATCTTTAATTTTTGAATTTATTGATAGTCTATTTGTTATTCAAATTTTTTCCATCCGATATATTTCAATGTCAATTTATTTTATGGTTACAAAATACAACACGTACAATATGTTCATTTTTAGCAACAACAGTAGATCGTTTTCTACGTTCAGAATATCTTGTATGATCACGTCGATGGTGTACATCAAAAAGTGTTTTTAAACTTTCAATTATTTATTTATTATTTTCAATATTACTTGATGCATTTTTCTTTCATTCATTAAATACATTTGATAGTGAAGGTTTTTGTACATTTAATTTTAATGGTACTTTTCTTATATTAGCTGTTTATGTTATGCCACCAATATATTTTACTTTTATTTGTGTTATACCAACTGGTATTGTGATTGCATGTGGTTGTCGAATGGTTTATAATATTGGACAATCACGTAAACGTGTTGCTCAGCAAATAATAACACAAAATCAAACACTTGCGACTATTGCTGTTCCAATATCAAAAACAACTAGTACAATTAATAATGATCGACGGCAAAACATAACTACTGATCGTGTATTAGTATTAATGGTTATAATAAATATTATTACATATATATAGTAACACAACTACCATTTAATATTTATGCTGTTTATTATGGCTATGAAACAACGAAAAATAATTTATCATATTCATTAACACGATCATTACTTCTTATATGGAGTTCAGTTTATTTTGATATTAGTTTGTATTTATTTTGTTGTGCTTCACAACAATTTCAAAAACAATTTTTAACAAAAATTAAAACTAATCATATTCTTCGACGTTCTTCACAAAGACGAATACCTTTGACAAGATATAACTAAAACAGTTTGACATTGATTGGAACAAAAAACAGAAACATTTTTTTGTAATCAATTTAGTTGTAGATATAAACTATTTTGTGAAATATGATCTTAAAAAAATCAGAGACCATTACAGGACGTGATGGACGTTAGTCAGAGACTGTGACAGACGCTTTAGCAACACTCTGTCTTCCTTCCACGTCACACATTGTAAATTTTTGCTAAAGTCGGCCGGATTTCGGGAAGCGAGGTAGGACGTTTTTACAAGTTGGTGAGCAGGAAAAACAATAGAAAGCCGGAACTCCGCTAGACAAAAATGAAAATTTTTCAAGATTGAGCGAAGAAGCGCTCCCCCGACCCTTATAGACGTAATCATTTGAAATCAATCAACTCAGTGATTGAGGATAACTTCAAAAATGGGAATCAGAAGGATTCAAATACTTTTAATTCTTTCATTTATTTTCCATTTCATGTATGAGAGAAAGTCTCCATAATCCTACACCTCATCCTGCAATATAAGATCCTTGATATGGGCGTAGGTATAGGTTTCTACTCCCGAATCATACCTACATCCACTCCCTGAATCATTAATTAAGAGCCTTCCATTGTGGAGAAGAACGGTCATGTCAGACGTTCTTTGTTTCATGACAAAATTACAATACGATATTTATCAAGAAATTTGAATAAATAAAGCTTCTTAATCTTAAGACTTTAAGAAGAGCTAAAGAAACATTTCTACCTAATGACACTTAAAAGCATTATTCGAGCATCATCCTTCTGATATTGAAATATTTTTAGTATTTACAATCAACTTTTTTTTAATAATAAGTGCGTAAAGAGATACTTATTGTACATGAGATCTTATAGTCATTTAGTTCAAATTGATAAAAGAAAAATGTACGATGCAGAACGTAAAAAAAGATTTCTAAATATAATTGAAGATTATACATGAATCTATGAAATCCGAATAACTTTATCTGTATGGTTAAAATTTAAATTATTGTGATTAAGTGTCCTTGCTGAAATATTTGGATCAATTTCTTTTTTAGTGTTGAACACATCGGAATCTTTCTTCATTAAAATGAATCCTATGTAGACAGATTATCTTTAGATAATGACAATAATCCTAATCTCTTAAGTTTTTAAAAATAATTTTTGTAATTTATGTTTATTTAATCTACAAAATTTTAGCTCCATCATGAAATTCAAATTTTATCTTTTATCAAACAATATAATAAATATCTTATATAAATTATTTTATTATCTTGTTTAAATTTCATTTTGCATATCCATTTTGATACAGATATGTAAGTGTTTATAATTTAAAAAAGTACATAGATATACACAAACGGATATGAATAGTGTTAGATAAGCATGAGTATAGAATGAATTGTTTCTCGTTAGTACACAATGATTTTATCAGACAGACCATGCTGACTACTAACAAAAAAAAAGAAAAATATATTCTTAAACTATAGAGATTAAAAAAATATAAAAAAAAACAGAAAAAAAAATCAAAAGTTAATGAAAATTCATTTTTATACTGTATGAAGTCTAATTAATCGTAATTTTGATGAATCAACAAGAACAGCTGCAGCATCATTTGTACCACCACAATAACGTGATGATGAAAAAACTGTTAGAAGACGACCACTTGATTGTACCTATATAGATTATATAGAAAAATAAAAGTACTTAGGACATATCAAGAGTATTGCCCAGGAAATAAAAGAATTTCATTTAAATAACTATTTTGGAAATTACCGTGAAAAAAATGCCATGACTTTGGTTATTTCATAAAAATGAAAGTCGGGAACCGAAGAGTTGCTCATGAGTGTGAGAGATGCGGTAGCAGTACTTTAAAAAATACCGCAGCACAGAAAATGTTTCAAAAATACTATCGTGGGCAATGGTGCGGCAGCTTTATTTTTAGAGAGATTGTAAAATTGCATGGATTTACATCTGATTTGAGTGTCCACAAGTCCAACAGTCAGAACCGTGGTGATTCTGATGGATTCAGTCTACTTGTGCTAATTCAGAACAGTGACGGAAGAGATTTTCGGAATGCTTCTCAAAAATCATCTCAACAACAGCGACTTTTTATATAGTTCACATCGTTGCAGCAGCGACAGATTTCCAATCACAATGCACGTCTCTATCCCACACTCATATACATGTGAGCAAATGTCCTAACCCGTATGTAATAATACTCATCAATGATTTTGAAATACATCAAAAAAAAAATATCCGTTTTATTATCAGATATGACATGTTACTAATTTCCGTCATCATTTTTCTGTACGAAAATTTCGAGGTTATATACGGAATTTTTGTGCTAATAGCATTAACATTGACTTTTTTCAGAAAAAAAGTTTTCATAGTCAATTTTAGTAGTATTCAAATACCTTCTATGAAAGAGATATTCTATAGCATGAATTATACTCACACCTTCTGAGAAAGGTGGAAATAGAATTTAATATCTCAAAAAAGCTACCCTCATTAATTTTGTCTTTTTCTAGAGTTTTTTGAATGCTATTAGCATCGAATTCCTTCATCTTCTGAAAATTTGGTAATTTACACTATTTTTCGCCAATTTTTTTCTATTCTATGGATGGTGAAGGTATTTTAATTCTTTATAAAAAAAAAAAAAGTTTAAATAAACTTTCTCTCTATATGATGTCATAGTAAAAACAATGCTCGACATTTCTCTGATATTTAATCATCCTTCAACTAATATTATAATAATAAAATTTTAATAAGAGTTACAAGTTCATCAAGTCTTTATTTCATTAAATGTTATCCGTTTTTTCTTTATCCTAATATGTATAGACGACTAGACATTAGAGAAGACGAGAAAAAAAGAAGAAAAAGATACACATCTTATCGAAATTTTATTATTATGATATTAGTTCAAGAATGATCAAATATCACAGAAATATATTGGATGTTCCAAAAATTCGTCGAAATAGGTAACATTAATATCTCTTATACAATGCAAGCGATTTAATAGCATTGTTTTTACTATAAGACTATATACAGAGAGAACATGTCTTTAAACTTTTTATAAGAAATTGAAATATTTCCGTTACTACTTTTAATATACTCTAAGTATATTCAAATATAGAAAATTTGATTTACTTTAAAACCTGCTTGTTGTACTTCATGAGCACGAACAACATGAGTAAAGTTATTTTTCTCAAGAAATGCCGTCAATGCTTCATTAGTAAAATAATTTCCTGTACTTCGTCTTGTATTATTAAAAAATCCATTAGTAGCACCATTTGGTATTTGCGCCATTATATTTGTTTCAATTGAAAATGGATCATTCCACATTATTTCCCATGCTAAAGGTGATTCAATTTCTGGATCACTCAATGGTATAGGTATATCATTAACCATTGAAATAAATTCACCTGGACATGTAATAGGACTTGGAATACCACCATGTAAACATAAAATCTAAATTATGAAAATAATTTTAGCATAGAAACTTGTTTTTTTTTCATAAAAAATTTAACATACTTTATCATCGATTACTGCAGCAAGTGGAAGTGTATCGAAAACGGAATTAATTGCATCCCATACATCTTTACCGAGTATATCACCGAATTTTCCAAGACATTCTCTGTAAATATACAAATTTGAATTCATCAAAAAAAGAAGTAGAAATTCGGTGAAATATAAATTCTATATATATATTGATTTTGTTTTTGAAACAAAAATAATTAATTTTTATCACTACTATGCTTTTTGTTAAAATACCGTCACCATCAAAAGCCTAGAAATTGAAAATTTTTAGAAAACAAACTAAGTGAATTACCCCATCAATAGTTGAAAAAAAATCAAATTGATGAAAAAAACCGGTCTACTTAAAGCAAAAACTCACTTTTTATTAGTTGTATGACAATTTTTGCTATATTCTGGAAGACAAACAAAAGGAAAAAAATCTTTTATATGTATAATGAATATGCCATGTTTTTACAATTTGATCAATTAAATTAATGGATCTTATTTTTTTCATCAATTAACTCAAATATTTACTTGTTTCAATTGAAGAAGAAATTAATCATGTTGAAAAAAAAAGACTTTTCCTTTATATTTAAGTTGCTGTTAACTGACAAGAAAAGGTTTTCAGAGATTAATTCGATTTTATGCTGGAACTATATTTAATCGATAGGGTATAGAGAGTAAGTAAACACTCTAGAGTGATTCATACTGCTGGACTTTTGTTGTTAAGATATCGAATTTTTAATAGATCTTTCCTGTACAGTCCTAGTTTTCAAGCGAAATTATAATTTTCAATTTTGACTTGAAACTTGGTCCACATAAAAGGCACCGGTTAGACTAACTTGTAGAAAAAATTTCAGAATCTTTTTGATTAAATCGCTCCAAGCTATGAATTTTTTAAAATATCCATGTCTTTTACAATAATCAGAGAAGGTGTTTAAATTTTGGAAAATTCATATCTTGAAGATATTTCACCAAAAAACTCTGAAATTTTTTTTCTACAAACTAGTCTAATTGATATCTTTACGTAGGTGAAATTTCAGATCAAAATTCAAAAGTATGAATTCACTGGGAAACTTAGATTCTACAGGAAAAATCCACTAAACAGTCGAAATTTCGATAGGAAAGACACTCATTAGTTCGAATCATTCAAGGATATTTACCTACTCACTAGACTATCGATTAAATATAGTCTCAGATAGAAAGTAATTTATCACTTGGGAACCTTTACTCGTGAGACATAAATTCTGATATCATTCATAAATATAACTATGTCTCTTCACTAGCTTTTTTTTTTTAAAAAACTATTCAATATATTAGAAGATCTAAAGAACAAATTCAATAACAACGATTTCTTAATGAAAGTGAAAATAGTTCTCAATTGATGAAGATTAATAATGCTTATAAACTATTCGAAAGTTTTTACGATCGCAAATCATATGAAACTATTATACTCTTACGAGGAAACACTTCTAAGTAATAATCGAGTTATGAACTAATACTTTGTCCATGAA